AGGATTGGAGCTGGTCATCGAGCAGCCGGTGGAGGTGCACGACCTGGAGGTGGAGGTGCTGGACATCAACGACAACGCGCCCCACTTCCCCAGCCCGGAGGCCCGCCTGGAGCTCAGCGAGTCGGCCCTGCCTGGCGCCCGCTTCCCCGTCGAGGGCGCGCAGGACCCGGACGTGGGCACCAACGCGGTGCAGACCTACCAGCTCAGCCCCAACCGGCACTTCGCCCTGGACCGGCGCGGCTTCGAGCGCGGCAGCAAAGTCCTCGAGCTGGTCCTGCTTCAGCCCCTCGACCGCGAGCAGAGCCCGCTCCAGCGGCTGGTCCTCACCGCCCTCGACGGCGGCCAGCCGCCCAAGTCGGCCACGGCTCACATCTCCGTGCGGGTCTTGGACACCAACGACAACCCCCCGCAGTTCGACCGCCCCACTTACACCGCCAGGCTCCTGGAGAACGCGGCCCCGGGCACGCTGGTGGTCACCCTCAATGCCTCGGACCCGGACGAGGGACCCAACGGCCAGGTGCGCTATGCCTTCAGCAGCTACACCCCGCAGGGAGTGCGCCGCCTCTTCACCGTCGACCCGGCATCCGGAGAGGTGAGGGTTAACGGCACCTTGGACTATGAGGAAGCCTCCTCCTATGAGATCTACCTGCAAGCCACAGACCGGGGCTCTGTCCCCATGGCTGGACACTGCAAAATGCTGGTGGAGGTGGTGGATGCCAACGACAATGCCCCCGAGGTGGTGCTGACTGCCTTGTACAGCCCTGTGCCTGAGGATGCCCCTCCGGACACCGTGGTGGCCTTAATGAGCGTCACTGACCAGGACTCTGGCCAAAATGGGCAGGTCACTCTCAGCTCTCCTGCCCACCTGCCTTTCAAACTCAACTCCTTCAAAAATTCTTACACCCTGGTCACCGCGGGCCACCTGGACCGGGAAAGGGCCCCCGCCTACAACATCACCATCACGGCCACCGACGCTGGGGCCCCTCCCCTGACTTCCCACAGAACTATCCAGGTGGACATCTCCGATGTCAACGACAACCCTCCCCGCTTCGAAGAGCGGGCTTACTCTGTTTACATCCCTGAAAACAACACCCCTGGGGTCCCCCTTTGCACCACCAAGGCCGTTGACCCGGATGCTGAGGAAAATGCTTCTGTTTCCTACTCTCTGCTGAATGGAGAGATCGAAGGGCTGCCCGTCGCCTCCTACGTCTCCATTCAGTCTGACACGGGCAGCCTTTATGCTGTCAGATCCTTCGACTATGAAAGGTTGAGGGAGTTCCAGGTCGTGGTGAAGGCCCAGGATTCTGGGGTGCCGCCTCTCAGCAGCACGGCCCCTGTTCATATCTATGTGGTGGATCAGAACGACC